TATTAGTCAGAAGGCGAAAGGGGTTTGGTCTTTAGAGAGAATGGATCAAAGTAGAAAGACATTTAAAGCTTATAAATCTGTAGGGAAGGAAGGCGGGGTAGGGGTCGTCCTCGAAAAGCTTGTAGGGAGGGGTAAAGGAGGTTTTGGGGGCGAGGGCTGGATTTCCAGCAAGCATGCTTTGAGCGTGTTAGATAGGAGAGAATGGAGACGAATGGTTTTCGGGACCTAACGAGCTGTTGGAGTGTGAGCAGGGTAAATTAGTGAAGGGATTCAGGGAAACTGGTTATTTTTATATGGGCCGACTTGAGTCCTGGAAATGGGAAGTACAATGGCCTGCACTTTAAAGGAGGTGTTTGGGATATGGCAGTTTGGGGGATATATTATAAAACTTTATATATGCTTCAAAAAACTGTTGTATCTGGGCACTTCTGCAAAGACAGTGTTTATGTATGAATGAGGTGAAAGTGTTGAATGATGAAAGTATTTTCTTTTTGAGGATTTTCTTTCTTGTTGGGTCACACCGCCTCAGTGGGAGACTGCCAATTTAAAAAAAAAAAATATAACTGAACACATTAATTACTCCATGAGACCCATGTTATTTCTTAATTAAAACTGATGATTTTCTGGTCTTATATTAGTCCTCCCAGGGAAAAAAATATAAAGAATGCATTCAACTTCAAGCCTGAGGAGACACAGCAAGGATTTGAGACTAGGAATGCAGAGATTTCAGCACTAATCTTAAGAGACTCTTACACCATGGAAGAGACTGGCGTTTCTATGTCCAGGTCAGTGACCATTTCAGTAATGACATCTTTGTTGCTTTTCGGTATTGACAATAATTGCTCTTTGTTTATTCTATGTATTATAATACTGTTGTATGTTGTAATTTTTTATGCGGTCAAATCGCAGCATACTCCTGCTGCTTAACTAGAATGTTATATTATTTCATAATATCCATAAAGTCCTACCTTAACAACATACACGAACACTGCTGATAAATGCAGATTTACTCTCGTAAATGAATTTTATTAATGCATTAGTTCAAATATTTTATTTAAATTAAACTTGTCTTGTTTGGGAACTTTGTCTAAAAACTGAATACTATCTTAGACAATTAATTTTAGCTCTTTAAGATTTATTAGCCTCTACTCCCTTTCAGACTCTTGTGCTGCCACTTCTGTTTATTGTCCTAGCAATGATTGGATCAAAGTGTCGGCCAACATACAAGAACCTAACCACCTCTCACTCTCGACCCTGCAATGTATGCTCCACCTACCTCCACATTTATCAGGTGAGCTATAGTGCCCTTAACAACTACAACCTGCCCTGTTAATTAGGAAGGATATACAGTGAGGGTAGGTGGATTTGTATGCATGGTACAACACTTAGCACTGATGGCTAAGTGTCAGTGCATAAGTGTTGTACCATAAATGTAATTATTTTTTTTTTTTTTTTTTTTATTCGCCGGTATTCTCCCGGCCCGGGTCTTTTCCAAGTACAGTGGACCCCCGCATAACGATCACCTCGAATGCGACCAATTATGTAAGTGTATTTATTTAAGTGCGTTTGTACGTGTATGTTTGGGGGTCTTAAATGGACTAATCTACTTCACAAATATTCCTTATGGGAACAAATTCGGTCACTACTGGCACCTGAACATACTTCTGGAGTGAAAAAATATCGTTAACCGGGGGTCCACTGTAGTGGTGACCCGGCCTTGGCTCCCTATCTGGGAGTGTCTCGAGACTTAAGTCTCCCATGGGAGGAGGTACAGTACCTCCTCATCTTTGGGACCAGTGTCCCCAGGCTAGCCACATTCCCCCCCCCTCACGGGGCTCGTAGGGAGAAGCTAGGCCTCTGGTCTGCCATCTACCCCCCCTCAAAGGGGCTCGTGGGGATGGCAGTCTTATGAGCTGCAGATGGTAGCAAGCTCAGCCCTCTATGTAATTATTGAAAGTTTTTAATACCAAAACTGTGGGAATGTGTAATTAGGGATTTGGGGTAACTAGTTTTGGGGAGAGGGAAAGGTGTGGTAAGAGTTTTGGGGAAAGAGCAGTTTTTGGGAATGGTATTAGTAGGCATTAGAGATGAGTGGTTTTGAGAGGGGCTGAGTATGAATAAATATTGTCTTCCAGTCTTCTTCAACTCCCATAGAAAATAAATTTCTCATCTTGTCCCATTATATTTTTACTGTAACTAAGTAATATTATGTATCTTCACCATCTCTATTCAATCATTCCATAAAGCTGAAAATCATTGAATCAGTTTTAAATATAAAATCATACTTTTATAAGTGTACCTTTCATATATTAGCTGCCTTTCTTATTGTGCATATAATTTTAGTTAACTGCATAAAAATACTACTTAATGGTCTGTGTCTAATTCTTAAGTTGTTTTTAAGCATTAAGATTAGTTTGCCTGATATGCATTTGGATACTAGTGGCTTTCTTTTGTGTCTAACAATGTTTTATTACATGTAAGCTTCTTTATTTTTTGTACTGCATAAAAAATAAAAGTATTTGTAAAATTGTGTTAGATAGCAGACTGGTTGATTTTGGTTACCTTGCATGTACTACTAGAAAAAAAGGCAATATTCTGTTTGTCATTGATTTTGTATCTGTATGACATTCACGATATTAGGTAAAAGGACACATCTGCAACTACTAATGACATTTTATTGTGGCAGTGTTTTGCTCTCCAGGAGCAAAACGTTGCCACAGTAAAATGTCACATTAGTTCCACAAGTGTCCCTTGCCTAACATTCTACCAACACAAATGGTGTGACCTCCAATACTCAGCCTGTAGTTGTTGGAGAGCCACAGGGAAATGTCCTAGGTCTTCTGCTCTTTCTTATTTACATCAGTGTCCTCCCAAATACATCGCGGTTCCTTAAACCAGTTCTATTCGCGGATGACACCACTTGTCTTCTCCCACCAAACCCGGCTATACTTAGTAACACTGTAAACAGTGAGCTACTTAAAATAACAAACTGGATGGCTACCAACAAACTTACCCTCATATAGACAAAACCTGTTTCATGCTTTTTGGAAGCAGAGCATCAAATATCCAGCTAAACATATCGATAAATGGTTCACCCATTACAAGACACACTGAGGGCAAATTTCTAGGACTCCACCTTGACTGTAATCTTAAATTTCAGACCCACATCCAGCATATAATTAAGAAAGTTTCCAAAACAGTAGGTATCCTTTCCAAGATACAATACTATGTACTCCTTACCTTATATCACTCTAATATACCCTTACCTTACCTATGGTATTTGTGCTTGGGGATCTACCATGGCCAATCACCTCAGACAGCCCAACAAAAGGCAGTAGTGAGGATAATCACAAACTCCAGTGCCAGACAACACCCCACCTCTCTTCAAAAACATGAACTTACTTAATATCCATAAAAATATACAACTTATTATTGTCCCTCACATAACAAAATTTTAACTCCATTACAACCCTCCACTCAAATTTCCCCTAGACAGCTTAAAACAGGACACACAGGGATAACACGGGGCACATAAATTTTTTGACACCCCTGTGTCCATCTCAACTTTGAAAAAGAAATGCACATAAAGGGCCCCTAAGATTGGAACTCTTTCCCTAAAGAGCAAGAGGTCACCCCCCACAAAATTTTATGATCAAAATCAAAAATATTCACCCCTTTCAATAATAAAAAAAACCCACCATACTAAACCCCAAAACCAAATTAAAAGCAAATCCCCTAATACTTATTATCCTTAATTTTAAGCCCATTTGTAAAACTTATAATGGTTTGTTCACAATTGTACTATGTATTAGTAATGGTAAATGAACTTAATTACAAATTTAAAATGTATGATAGTTGTATCATAAATTTTATACCTCAATTAATAATAAAAGTGAAATAAAAAAATATTTGTATTCTGCCATTGTAAAAAAAACCTATTTCATATTTAAAAAGTAAGATTGACATAAATTGACTACCTCACTTAACATTTTTAGTTTAATAGTTTATTATGCCCCCCATACCCTTCCTGTGGGCGGTAGTAAAAAAATTTAAAGGGTACAAAATTGGCCAGGGACTGGACCCCAAAGTTTTGTGGGCAAGTTTCAGAGGTAATGAATTCACAATTTACAAAGGTAATAAAAAACTCAAAATTACAAGGAAATGAACCCCGGTAGGTCTGTCAAAAATCATGAAAGTTAAAGGTATTTACGATTACAAGGTCAAAAATGGGCCCAGGGCCCGGGCTAAAGTTTTGATGGCTGAATAGGACAAGGAAAGAACTCAAAATTTAAAAAGGTAATGACTCAAAAGTTAAAAAGGTAAAACTCACAATTTACAAAGGTAAGAACTCACAAGTTAAAAAGGTAATGAATACTGTAAGTGGTTACTTCGTTTTTCGGGTGCAATCTGAAAAAAATTTTTAGGAAATGAGCAATTCACATTCCAAACCCGGGTTCACAACTGTAGTGAGTTATTGGTGCAAATGTGATTGCTGAGTCCTCTCTCTCTAAACCACACACCAACAAATTCAAAAACCCATACCACATAAACACACACCCACACACACACAACCACACACACACACCACCACACACACACAAACACACACACACACACCACACACCACACACACATCACACACTCCCCAAACTCATACAATACAAACAAACAACACACACACCAACATGACATATGGGAAAGGGGCTTTATTTAAGTAGCAAAGCAGGGTATTTCCCAAAATGGTCTGAAATTTCCCACTGTGGATAAAAAAATTAGCCATTTCTTGAAACTTTGAGTGAGGTTTCTAATTCTTTAAATTTTATCGCATCCGTACATAAGACGCAGGGTTTTAAAATAATCCATTGGAAAAAGTTTACATTTCGTTTCGTCTAATCTGGGGTGGTGATTTAACCTCCCCAAAGTACTTGTAACCCAGCCGGAGGGCGGTATGACATCAAGAGTTGTTATTTTTTTGGATGCCCATGAATGTGGCCCCTCCGCATGATGAAGATGAAGTGGACTCACTGGTGTAAATTCCCTGACCCCTTAAGTCCTAAAATTCGCTGAAGTTTTTTTCGTATTATTTTCTAAAACTACTCCCTGAAAACCCCAAAAATCGTAATCTACCCCCCTTTGAAAGCATAAGCTTACCCAATTTATCAGTTTATATGCATCTAAGACCAATGTGGATGGAATCCCAGCATGTGCACTCTGACTCCACTGCCCACAACCCTACCATACCTGTGTTGGCTTTGACACAAGCATGCCAAATTTATGCTAATGGTTGAGGATTTAAAGGATAAGAGAATCATTTAAATTTAAACTGTCAATTTTGGAACATAGTGATTTCAGTGCAAGGAGTATGGCAAACAGTTCTTCTGAAAAGGGGAGAGGCCCAATTTGATGCTGTCCAATTTCTTTTGGGAAAACCATCACTCTGTACGACAACAGAGCAACCAGCTGCACCAGGGGGTTGGAAACAGAACCATCAAGTAAATAATTTGGAAGTGTGTGCTGTGTGACTAAGTTTCAAAACACTTAAGGCCTCAGTTTGGCTTCAAGGCAAGTTTTGGGTTTGATTTAAGAAGTGTTTGGGGGAAATGGAGGAAAAGGTAGTTTTGAAGGGTAAAATTCCATGGGCGGAGAAGTGCCCCTGTTGCCTTCTTGACATAGATCATGTATTGATTTACGGAGGTCGGTTCCGTCTTTTTAAACCCTCTGAGGGTGTTCCCTCTGAGGAAAGTTTGGAGGGCTTCTGTGCGGGGTTTTTTTTAAAGAGCTTTTCCTGAGCATATTAACCCCAATTAGGATATTTTTTTCAGTAAAAACGATCTTGATCTTTGGGAAAATCAAATTCTTTTTGATATTTAAAAATTTTTGGGAGTCGGGGCATCCTAGGGTACCTTTTTTGCTCGTTCTGCAGTTTTTCCACTCTCCAAGTTCCGTCAGCACAAAACAGTAGTGGGCGCATAATAACCCTGATCTAATATAAGCAAGTCATATTTTCACAATTTTTTCATTGCACCCTACCTGGGGTTTTGCCCTGCCCAACTCTAAGTGTCTTAGTGTTCTTTGTTTGGCGACAAAGTTTGTTACAACAGGTCCAAGTAGTGGAACCTCAAAACCTAATACCTGATCTGCTTTTATTTCTGAAGAACCCCAAAATGCAAATTTGGGTCTGACGAACGTGCCCTTCTGTGAGGGGACGCCTATTTTGGTATCTTTGTTTTTTATCAGTAGAGATTATCAAAAACCCCGGGCCCGAACGAGGCTAGTACATGATAAGTTTGGGGGGTTGGAGAATCCCGGGGGTGGAATCTTTTTAAACAGCAAACTAAACACATAATTATGGGGGTGATAGGTAGCATTAGTAAGCATTAATTGAATATTGAAAAGTGTGGGACTGAGCACCCTCCCTGTGGGGTTCCCAAAACAACTTTAGTTACACTTTTAGCCGGAACAACAACATTTTTTGTTGGCAGGGAGCCCTTTAAACCAGGGGGAAACCACCCAACTCCATTTTGGGAAATTTACTAATTATTACATGTCGGTTTTCTACATCGAAAAACGGATTTAAGGGCAGGAAATTGTAGTGTAGGAGTGTATGTGCAGGGTGAGAAAAGGGGGCTAGCAATGATGACGCTCCTTCCCTGCATGAAACAGTTAAAGGGGAGACAAAATTGTTTGATTTGTCATGAGACGATTAAGGGGTCATTTTCTCAAAAGTTTTACACAAGCAGCTATAAAGATATTGGGGGGGGAAATGCATTTTGTTTTTTGCGCTTAGGGGAAAGGAAGAGGGCTGTTTGGGCCAAGATTGAGGGAGCTCCCCAGTTACATAGCTCATGTTATATAATTTAAGTAAAGGATTACCTGGTACTCGACACAGCAATCTGAGTATGTTGTAAGTAATACCATCCTCACCAGGCGACGTGGAGTTGCCCTTAGTTAGCGCTGCATCAAGTTCATAATTAGTGAAAGGAATGTTGTAATCATCTGCCTTACTGAGCATAAAGCAAACAAGTCTCTCCCTTGCATCATATTTGTTCACATTAACAATAGAGTGAAGATTGACTGTATTCTACTACTATTCACCTGTCTAAACTTAAGTAGTCTATAAGTATTAGGTTAAGTCTGTCTGAAATGCTTAGGCATGATAGTGGCTTTCTTTGCTCCATTCATACTATATGTAAACACACATTGTAACCTTAACAAAGAAATAAATATTTTATTTATTTATTTTAGCATAATTACAGCACTAATCGTGTAACAAGAATGGTGCTCAGCTACATTTTTTCAACGTCGTCATTACCTTTGCACTATATTACTTTGGTTTTACTGGTATTAATAACCTTAAGAATTTTTTTTTTTTTTTTTTTTTCCAAAAAACTTTTCTTTCTTAAAAAGATTGCTTTTTGTTAGATTTACTCTGCATATTTCCACTGTTAAGACTTGAAAATACACATAAGAATCATTTTAAAGACTTCTGAATGCCTATTTACCATAGCTGCCATGTGCATTTAGAAACAGGATTATGGGAATTGACTGAAAGTATTTTTAAGTACCAGTATTTGTTTCTCACTGGCCATCAGAAGACCAAAACAAGTGAGAGTAGAAATAGTGTAAAAAGAGGTTTCTTTATAGTATGTTTCACTATTTTCTTTTACTAAACCTAAATGTTTTTATTAGTTTTAAGCCTTTTAAAGATGTACATTTTCAGCTTTAAAATATGTACATTTTTACCATTTAAAGGATATACTGTACTTTTAAAAGCATATAATGAAAATGTGATTTACTCTTAAATGCATTTAATAAAAATGTGCTGATAGGTAAATAAAGTATGCAAATATGTGTTGATGCTATTATTTCACACAACCTTCAGAACCTTGGATCCTGCTTTAAAGCCTGTAGCTGAAGCATTCCTCCAGCTGTCAATTGGGAAGAGAGTCAGCACGAAAAATTGGTTCACCTGTCCCAGTTATGTTGATACTAACCCCAGATTCTCTCCGTGTAATATTTCTTCTATGGTAAGGAGAAGCAAAATGAAATTCGTATGTTTTGGGAATAAAGATGCATAAGTATACTGAAGACATTTGTTGAAAATACATTTTGCCTTCAAAAATATTTTGAATATCTATACATGTTTTTATTCTCACAATCTGTAGAGGTTCAAATATTACAATGAAGAAATATATATATCTTTCTTCTTTCAACACACTGGCCGTATCCCTCCGAGGTGGGGTGGCCCAAAAGGAAAAATGAAAGTTTCTCCTTTTACATTTAGTAATATATACAGGAGAAGGGGTTACTAGCCCCTTGCTCCCAAATATATATATATATATAAATTAAATAGTCCTAGGTAGTAGGTTGGTAGACAGCAACCGCCCAGGGAGGTACTACTGTCCTGCCAAGTGAGTGTAAAACAAAAGCCTGTAATTGTTTTACATGATGGTAGGATTGCGGGTGTCTTTTTTTCTGTCTCATAAACCTGCAAGATTTCAGGTACGTCTTGCTACTTCTACTTACACTTAGGTCACACTACACATACATGTACAAGCATATATATACACACCCCTCTGGGTTTTCTTCTATTTTCTTTCTAGTTCTTTTCTTGTTTATTCCTCTTATCTCCCATAGGAAGTGGAACAGAATTCTTCCTCTGTAAGCCATGTGTGTTGTAAGAGGTGAAAAAAATTTGCCAGGAGAAAGGGGCTAGAAATCCTTTCTCTGTATAGATTGCTAAATTTAAAAAGGAAAACTTTTGTTTTTCTTTTTGGGCCACCCTGCCTCGGTGGGATACGGCCGGTTTGTTGAAAAAAAAAATTAAATAGTATTGGTTAGATTAAATATTATGAGTGAGTCTCATAAATGTATGAATAAAAATATATAATTAAACAAAAGATGCATATATAGGTAAAACAGGGATAGTATTTGTTAAAGCAAGATGGGACATAATCTGTCTATAATATCTCTCAATTTCCATTATCAGGCTGCTTCATCACTGTGTAAGTGTGATGATGGACGGTGCATAGCTGATGTATCAAATCAACCAAGACTTTATGATTGGTTATTAAGGACTAGATGGCAGTATATTCAAAACAGGGTAAATTGGTTTCTTTTTATAAATGGTTTATGTAAAAAATTTACATAAGATATATTGTACGTGGAAATATAAACACAAATGCAGTATAATGTGATCCTTTATTGACTACGTTTCGCCCACACAGTGGGCTTTTTCAAGTCACAAACAGAACTTAGAGTTCTGTTTGTGACTTGAAAAAGCCCACTGTGTGGGCAAAACGTAGTCAATAAAGGATCACATTATACTGCATTTGTGTTTATATTTCCATTGTGTCGGTATTTTATACCATTTATTTCCATATATTGTACGTGGTGAAACACAAGCATAAAAGCATGTCATAGAAAGTTACCTCTAATGTAGGTTAGCTGGTGACTCTCAGAGTAGAATTTACTTCTCCAGGGGAGAATGTCACTGTGTTGGAAACCTCCAGACATCTGTTGAAATTATTCAAGTATTGTAATACAGGTCAGCCATAATGGATCTGGCAGTCACTAATCTGGTTTCATCACTAATCCAGCATAAATTTCAGTACCACATCAAAAATTTGTATACCAGAGCTTTCAAAGGTATACAGTTTCCTGT